TAGCGGCTGTCCTTCAGACGGCTAATAGCTGCTGTCATGTCAGGATCTGAGAGTTTTGGACCAGTCTTTATCTATTATGATCTCTATTCACTCTGTATCTTCATCGAATCCTCCCCACAGTCTGATAAGGTTGGCTTTATTATCTCTGTTTTACAAACGAGGAAATATAGGCCCAAAGAGGCAAAGAGACTTTCCTAATGTTACACTGGTTTGTGCCAGAGCTGGATTTGAAACTGAGGTTGGCTAGAACCCCAAAGCCAGAGCTGAGTTGTTCACAGATGGAGAAACAGAGGCTTAGAGAAGTTCAGGGCTTACCTAGATCACACAACAAGTGATAGAGCTGGGATATGACCTCTGGGTTTGTATTCCTTTTTTTTTTTTTTTTTTTAAAGTCAGGAAGCAAGAATCCTTTCATCAGATTTGTCTTTATGTCTTGTAGCTAGATCCGAATGGTGATTACAAAGGAAATGGGGAAAGTGTGAATCTGGGGAAACCAAATGAGATGCCTGAGTTGGCCCCAGCCCAGTCGGGATTCATCTCCTGGGGCTACAACCAAGTCTGGGTCTGTAGAGAGGAGGTGGGAGTGATGGCTGTAGGGTCGGTGCTAACAGTGTCTACCACAGTCTGTAATTCCCGGTGTTGCCATCAGCCTACTGGCTCACGTTATCGGATCCACTCCAGGCCTGTGTGAGGAGGCCTGAGGTTCTGGCAAAGGCGTGGCACATCCCAGCCTGGTCCCAGCCTCCGTTGTGGCTGTTGACGTCTGCTTTGAGATTATAAAATCTGTCACAAGGAAGAGATGTCCTTTTTCAACACACCCCGCAGAGTTGCACTCTCTGCCTGGTCTGCAGGGCACAGATGGTGAGGCCGAGACAGCCCTCCCCTTGGCACGCCTCATAGGCTGCTGACTCCAGATTCTTCTGAGGAGAAGGCTGACCACCAGTTTCCACACCAAGTTATTCCCAAATCAAATTCTGGTAAAACGACTGTCTCTAAAATTGGCTGTTGTTATAGACAAAGAATTTCGCATGTTGGCATTGGTTTCCTGGGAGTGGCATGGTTACTTCTGATGGGCACAGACTCTGGAGCTGGACGCTGAGATTTGAGTCCTGGCACAGTCGTGAGTTCAAGTCCTTGAACTTCCCGGGGTCTCTGCCTATCCCATCTAAAAGGGAGACAGAGTAGCCACCCCAAAGGCTGCTGTCAGGATGAACTGGGGTGATGAGGCCAAGGGACTTGAAAGGGAGAAGTGGGCAGGCTCTGCGGGGCCATGGGTATGTCTTGCTTTCAAGGGTTCTTTCATGAGCACGTTTTCAATTATGAATTTGCATTTGAACTTGGCCACCTGCTTGGCTGGCTAACTTTGTCAGGAATCAGTTCCATGGCTCATTTTGGGAGGACCGTTCTGCCTCTTTGTAAGCTTTTTTCAAAGAGCTGGTACCAGGTCTCCAGCTTCTAGATTTGTGGGTACCAGTGAGAGGCCTTTTCCCTCCGTTCTCCCATTACTATTGTTTTCTTTTATTGTTGAGGTAAAATTTATATACAGTGAAGGCCACACATTTTTATGTGTGCTGTGTAGTATTTCCCCCACATACATACTCCCGTGTAAATACCATCCAGATCAGGATATAAAACGTTTCCATCACCCCAGGAGGCCTTCTCGCCCCCCTGCCCATCACTACCCCACAGTCCCTCTGCTCTGTCCCCACTCTGTTGGATTCAGTGCCATTGACCCAACTTATCCTCACACCACTCCTAAACTGTTCTTGAACTTCCTATGAAGTGGTGTTATATACTCTGGACCTCACATTGTCCTCTCAATACCTTCACTTCTATTTCATTTTTTTCTGATCAGTTTCAGGCAGCCTATCAGCCACTCCTTCTGATAGGCAGAGCTTCTTCCTGCTTGCACATCACCCACGACAGTCGGCTTTTGTCCCTCGAGAGGGGCAGAAACCTCAGGTATTCCTCCTTCAGCAGGAGATGTCCTGGGACATGTGGACACCTCCAGCGCCTCCCCCCCCCCCCCCGAGGGGCCTCTCTTCCCACTTGCTGGACTGCTGTGAGACTGATGGCTCTTGCCACTGCCCCACTCCCTGTGGCATCATGCTTGGTCTTCACGTCCCCACCTGGCCCCGGCAGACACTGAGCTGGTTTGGGTGGGAGGAATTGGGCAGCTTCGCAGAGGAGGGCCGTGGTTGGTCCTGATCTCCGGTTGGAGTATTCCCCTCCACTCTTCTCAGTTCCTCTCCTCAGGGTGGCTGAGCTCATCAGATCCTTTCCTGAGAGACGGTTCATAGCTGTGCTGGGGTGGGGGGATGAGCGGGAGAGTAGATGCTGAGGTGACCCACTTAGGCACCTGGGAGAGGTTCTCAGGATCTGAGTCCCATCCTGTTCAAAATGCTGACCTGCTGCGGAATCTGGGCGAACCCAGGTACTTGCTGAGGTCATCCAAATTTCAGCGTCTCCAAGAGGAGGAGGCCGGGGCTCAGAGGGCAGTGAGGTCAGACACGAAGCGTGGATTCTAGGGCAAGGCTGGGGACCCCTCCATCTTCCAGCCTGCCCACGGGGATTTGCTGTGAACACCTTCCTTCTGAGCACAGCTAAGGGCACGAGAAACATCTTCTCCAGCCTCCCTGCCCGCTCCTGCACCTGGAGGAAAGGTCACGCTTGCTTTTGCCAAGCCTTGTCATTTCCCCGAATCTCTGAACTGTCTCCTGGGCAGGGGGCCAACTCCAGGGAGTGGGGCAGTGGCTGGCAGGCAGGTAAGGGCCACCTTGTCTCCCCTTCACGCTCTCAGTCAGGTGGCCTGACAGCCGCTGGGCTCTGGCCAGGGGGCCGGACCAGGGCCCTGTGCAGGGAAGGAGGCGGCTTTGGTGCTTTCCTGAGTTGGGGGCAGAGTCAGGGCCCTGGCCTGCTTTTCCCTCTGGAGCCTCCCACTGTGGTGGTGGGAGGTGTCTGCTGGGGTGGCCAGGGCAGCGGCTAGGCTGTGAAGAGTGAGAAGGGAACACTCTTCTCAGGGTTTTGCAAGTCAAGGGGAGTGACCTTGAGCATGAGTGCCTGCTGAGAGAGGAGCCTGGGGAGCAAATGGCGAGGCCGCCCTGCACTGGCAAGAACCTGAGCGAGAGCCGCCTTAAGTGTCCTCTCACTCGCCTTCCCCTCGCGGCTCTGTGAGCTGTGCCAGGACTGCAAGCAAAGGTGGGGAGGGCGAGGCATCGAGGGCATTCTTTTTCTTTAAAATGTATTTTCATTGATTTCAGAGAGGAAGGGAGAGGAAAAGAGAGAGAGGAACATGAATGATGAGAGAGAATCATCGATTGGCTGCCTCCCGCCTGACCTCCACTGGGAATTGAGCCCCCAACCCAGGCACCTGCCCTGGCCAGAATAGAATGGTGACCTCCTGGTTTCTAGGTCGACGCTCAACAGCTGAGGCATGCCGGCTGGGCGAGAGATTCTTATCTCCAGGACGAGACCACTGGTTCTCAGCCTTTGCTGAACATGGGAAACCCCTAAAAGCTTTACAAAATCCTACTTTCTAGGCCCCACCCCAGAGGCTCTGATTTCATGGACCTGGGAGGCAGCCTGCCTTTGGGGTTTTTCAAAGCTCCCCAGGGGATCCCAGTGTGCGGCAAAGTGTGAGAACCTCTGATCTAGACTGTGCAGGACAGGTGCCGGTTACTGGTTTTCCTCTCAGTGGTTTTCTGACTAACATGCCGGATGCAGACTTCCATGGGCAACGCAAGGAAACCTAGCCCACAGCGGGCGGGGCGGGAGGAGAGTGGAAAGAAAGCCTAGATTCAAGCGCCAGGCTGTGCCAGGTGCATCTTGTTTGTCATTTAACAACCGGCCCGGGAGGTGAATGTGCCCAGGCTCAGTTTACAGACGAGGAGCCCGAGTCTTGGCCGCTCTGACGGTGCGTCTACGTGAGGCTGTGAGATGGCAGAGCCGCGCATGAAACTGACACGGGACAGGTGAATGCCGCCAGCCAGGGTAGGAGTGGACGTCAGTACTAATTTTTCAAACAAAGCGTTTCTGGGGTCCGTGGTGGAGGAGATGGCTTTGCAAAAAACTGAGCTCCCAGCTCCTCTTGGCCCTCAGGACAGAGGCGGGTGGGAGTAAAGGCTGTTCTAGTTTCTCCTCTCTCATCAGAGTCTGGTTGGAGACTGGCCTGAGCCAGTGGCCCCAGGTGATTTTAAAGAAAGTACCAGTTTCTCTCCCCCTCTCCTTTAAGCTAAATAGATTCCTGCACCAAAGCAAGTTGAATAGTGGGATTAAAAAGAGCCCTGTCCTGCTGAAACTGGTTTGGCTCAGTGGATAGAGCGTCGGCCTGCGGACTGAAGGGTCCCGGGTTCGATTCCGGTCAAGGGCATGTACCTTGGTTGCAGGCACATCCCTAGTAGGAGGTGTGCAAGAGGCAGCTGATCGATGATTCTCTCTCATCGATGTTTCTAGCTTTCTATCCTTCTCTCTTCCTTTCTGTAAAAACTCAATAAAATATATTAAATAAATAAATAAATAAAATAATAAAGATATTAAAAAAAAAGAGCCCCATCCCTCAGCTTCCAAATCAACACACACATTCCCACATGTGCATCCCAGAGTTGCTGCAGTTCTAAGTCATTGGATTAAACCAGAAAATACTCACGGAAGGGTAAGTGGGGGAGCCTGCCAGTCACATCCTATTTTGGATTACTGAGTGATTTTGTGGGTACCTGGTCCCAGCACCCGGGCAGACTCTCCCTTCCGGGCAGACAGACACACCTGGTAAAAGGCCAGGAAAATATCACAGAGGCTTCTGAAGATGTGGAGGGAGCATCTGAGGTGAGGCTTCAAAGATGCTGAAAGTTGCTATTTAGTAGGTAACCATATGCAGAGGAATGATCGCGCTGGCTCCCGCCAAGCAGCAGTGCTGTGAGCAGCTTTTGCAGCAGTGGCAGAAGTGCACTGGGTTCTGCCGCCAGCTCCTTCTGCTTTTCCGCCAGCTCCTTCTGCTGTTCCAGGGCGGCTCCTGCAGGAGTAGCCGGCAGGGAGTGAGCACCAGGTCTCGTGTGGGAGACCTGCCTGTTTGGACTCCTGTCTGGCCTTACTGTCTCCCTGAGTCCTGGTGTCCTCACAGACACACTGGGGACTTCTGCTTGTGTCCAACAGGGAGTAACAGGGGCTGGATTTACTCTTTCACCTGAAACAATTAAAAACAAACAAACTGACCAAATAGATGAAACTATGGTTTTCAAGACACTGGACATTAGGCCACAAAGTTTAGTGACCCCAGGTCATTGATTATCTCTGCTTATTGCTTACAAGAGTTTCTAGGTCATGGCACAGGAAGAGGGGTTAAGGCCAGGAGGGGAGAAACAGAAATGTACTACTGTAAGGTTCTCATACTTGATGTGAAGTGGTAAAATACCACTTGAAGGTAGATTCAAGTGATAAGAGTAAGATGCAAATTGACTGTACCTTTGTGGTGCCCACCAGCCAATCAGGAGTGAGTATGCAAATCAACCCAACAAAGATGGCAGGTTAATTTGCATATGAAGGCACTGGGTCGGGGCAGGACGCAGGAGTTCCACAATGCTCCAGCTGCTCTGCGGTACCGGCAGCCAGGGGAAGGAAGGCACATTTTTTAAAAAAATATATATTTTATTGATTTTTTACAGAGAGGAAGGGAGAGAGACAGAGAGCTAGAAACGTCAATGAGAGAGAAACACCGACCAGCCGCCTCCTGCACACCCCCCACTGGGGATGTGCCCGCAACCAACATACACGCCCCTGACCGGAATCGAACCTGGGACCTTTCAGTCCACAGACCAACGCTCCACCACTGAGCCAAACCGGTTTCGGCAGGAAGGCACATTTTTACATGAATCTTTGTGCATAGGACCTCTAGTATGTAATAAATGCTAAAGCTGCCACTCAATGGTAAAAGCTTAGAGCCAACGAAGGAGATAAAAATTGAATCATCATAAATAATCTAAAAGAATGTGAGAAAAAGGAATAAAAACAGATGGAACAAACAAGAAACAAATAGCAAGATGAGACTCCAGCCTCACTATATCAGTAATCACATTAAACGTACATAGTCTAAACATACGTTAGAGATTGTCTTGTATTTTGAATATTAACCTCTTCTCAGATACCTGGTTTGCAAATATTCATAAGTTGTCTTCCCATTTTTGTTGTTTTCAAGAAACCTACTTTAAATATAAATATATTAAGGCTGAAAGAATGGAAAACATATACCACACTAACACTACTCAAAATAAAGCTGGAATGGCTGCATTAATACCAGACAAAGTAGATTTTAGAACAAAGCACTCTACCTGGGTGGTCTGTATCTGCATATCTATAGCTAATCTGTACCTGTATTATAGGAAACCGTGGTCTTTGCCTCATTGGGTTTTGGTAAGAACCACATGAGATAATATCTGGAAAAATGCTTTGTAGACTGTAAAACCTGGCACAGGTGTCATTAGACCTTTATTATTAGAAATTAGCCTGTCTGAATCCTTATGAAGAGCCAGGCATCTGGGTTTGAACTGTTTGATTCTCAAGAGAAGAAGAAAAGGCCACACACAGCAGTGTCGAGGGGAGGCAGGTAAGGGTTGCCAGAGGAGGCGGGGCCCAGAAACATCGGTGAGCTCGTGCCTGGACCGGCACACATGGCCTCCTGACAAGTTGACTGGCATCTACAGGAACCAGGGGGCTCCCCTCAGCTGCAGAGGAGACATGCCTGGACTGAGAGGCTCTGCCCATGAGCCCCAGGAGCGCTGGCTAAAAACAAGTACAGCTATGATGGTGCTAAACCATTTATTTTATTTTATTATTATTGATTTTTTTACAGAGAGGAAGGGAGAGGGAGAGAGAGTTAGAAACATCGATGGGAGAGAAATAGCAATCAGCTGCCTCCTGCACCCCCCCCCCCCACCCCAGTGGAGAAGTGCCCCCAACCAACGTACATGCCCTTGACTGGAATCGAACCTGGGACCCTGGGACCCTTCAGTCCGCAGGCTGACTATCCACTGAGACAAACCAGTTAGGGCCTCTTCTCATTTATGAGACTTACCTGGCTGGAACTCATATCATCATGTCCAGTTAACATTGAAGGGAATGGAAGCACCACAAGACAGAGCCATTAGCCTGCTGAGTCAGAGTTTAGACCCATGAAGACTAGAGCAGAGCCCAAGCCTTCAACATGACCCTCACCATGAAGTACAGGGAAGGTCTCAGCCAGCAGAGGGTTACACTGAGCTCCACCGGAGGGGAGGTGGGACTATGGACATAGGACAAGCCCCTCCATCTTGCTTCAAGCTGCACCACCCAGGCTGGGCACCACCCTCCCCCATCCCCTTCTCCATCCCCATGTCTTTATCCAGCCAGCTGGAGATAGGGTGTCTCCGGGGCTGTGCCCTGTTTCCCGACTACTCCGCAGGCTGAGTCTCAGCCCTGCCTCTGACTCACAGAGAACCTCCTTTCGTTGCCTGAAGAAAGGGGTACTAGTACTGACCTCTGGCGGCAGTCCCAAGGTTCTGGAGAGAGGCAATTTTAAATAAAATGCTGACAGGTGATGCCGAGTTGCTCTGTCTCTCTCTGACCTCCCACTCCTGACCCTGCTGTCCCCTCTCTCACTCAGCGACATATGTTCATCCCTCACATCCTCCTCCACCTCATCACGGCCCCGGGGCCTGCGGCTCAGCATTGCCAGGGGCAGGGGAGGGATTCTCCTTCATGACCCTCAGGCGGTGCTGGTGGGAGAGCAGGTCCGGGTGAAGGCACAGTGAGACTGGGGTTCTTAAATGTCTCATTGGTGTGTGTGTTTTTAATTTTAATTTTTTTATTTTAAAAAATATATTTTATTGATTTTTTACAGAAAGAAAGGGAGAGGGACAGAGAGTTAGAAACATCGATGAGAGAGAAACATCGATCAGCTGCCTCCTGCACACCCCTCACTGGGGATGTGCCCCCAACCAAGGTACATGCCCTTGACTGGAATCGAACCTGGAACCATCCAGTCCACAGGCCAACGCTCTATCCACTGAGCCAAACAAGTTAGGGCAGTGTGTGTATTTTTTAAATTGAGGTGAAATTCACATAGCACTATTGACCATTTTAAAGTACACAATTCAGTGGCGTTTGGTGCAGTTACAATGCTGTGTAACCACCACCCTTCTCTAGTTTCAAAATTTCTCTCTCCAAGAACACCTGTGTCCACTAAGTAATAATCACTTCCCTTCCTCCCCTCCCCCATCCCCCGGCAACCACAATCTGCGTGCCTTTCCCATGGATTGCCTATTCCCGCCACTTCTTAGGACAGGGATCGTACAATAGGTGACCTTTGCGACTGGCTTCTTTCCCTTAACGTGCTTTTGAGGTTTATCCGAATTGCATCATGAATGAGTACTCAGTTCCTTCTAACTGCATGCATATACTGGCTTGTTTATCTGTTCGCCCACGGATGGATGGCGGGCTGTTCCCACTTTTGGACAGCTGTGGAGGGCGCTGTTATGACCGTTGGGAGCACGTGTCTGTGTGAGTACCTGTTTTCAGTTCTTTTGAGCATATAACCTAGGAGTGGAATTGCTGGGTCATACGGTGAGTTTATGTTTAACTTTTGAAAAAACTGCCACACTGTTTTCTTACAGCCGCTATACCTCCCTTTAGTTTGAAGATGAGGTTGTTCTAAGTGCAAAGATAATACAATACTATAACTTGGAAATGATTTATTGAGCAGTTGTTTTAAGGTCATTTTAAAAATTGTGTCTGTTGCCGAAACCGGTTTGGCTCAGTGGTAGAGCGTCTGTCTGCATACCGAAAGGTTCCGAGTTCGATTCCAGTCAAGGGCATGTACCTTGGTTGCGGGCACATCCCCAGTAGGGGGTGTGCAAGAGGCAGCTGGTCGATGTTTCTCTCTCATCAACGTTTCTAGCTCTCTATCTCTCTCCCTTCCTCTCTGTAAAAAATCAATAAAATATATTAAAAAAAGAAAAAGAAAACATTCATTTAAAAAAATTGTGTCTGTTTATTGTAACAGTTCAATTAAAGAAATTTCTAGAAGAAAAAGAAGTATTTTGTGTGTGTTTCATCCTACTCCTTCTCCTGAGGCTGACTAGAGCCAACCCTTTGATCTGTATCCTTTCAGACATTTTCTCGGCATTTATATAGTTCTTGAATTATTATTATTATTATTATTTACATAAACATGCCATCCTTTCCATATTCTCTTGCCTTGACACTTTCCTATCCTTTCCTGTAAGTTGTGATCGTTGCAGTGACCGCTGGAGGCAGGCTGAGGGTGTCCGGGACCCTGAGCTCGGAGGCCTGACCCTGGCCCTGTTTTAAAAGTCAGTTCCAGGTATGGCCAGGCTGTCCTTGGGTGGCTGGACAGCGAATACACCGTTTAGTTTTCCTTTTGTTATCTGCATCTATAATTTTTTTTCCCCCCAAAACGAATATGAATTGCTTTTGTAATAAGAAAAATGAAGTAGGGAGGAGGAATTGAGGTCCCGGAGGCACAGTGCACAGCTTGTACCTTAATTTAGCCCTGACTTCATTCTTCTGGCTGCATAACGAATTGTTTGTGTGTTTGTCTCCCTCGAGGGCGGACAGGGCTTCTGCTTTTGTTGCCCTCCCTACGCCTGAGGAGGGTGCCAGGCGCACACGTGGCTCCTCCAGGCTTGTGGCCGGGCCGCAGAGGAGAGGGTGGGCTCCAGAGACCTCCACGTGCCCTCAGTTCAGGCTCAAAAGGGACGTGCAGCTTCTCAGGGCTGCACGGTGTGTGTGTGTGTGTGTGTGGGGGGGGGGGGGGCAGCCCCTGCAGGCTGGTCAGGCTCCTGCTCCCTGCGGGGGCATCTGGTCTCCGGCCTCCCAGGGAAGCCGGGTGTGAGCTCAGGGGCAGCTATTTATGTGGCCCAGCCAGGGTGCCCTGGCAGGCAGGCGGCGCCCAGCGGAGGAAGTAATTAGAGTGCTGCCAGGAGCAGAAGAGGGAGAGGCTTGGAGCCTGCACTCTCTTTGCAGAGCGATATAAATAGCCGGGCTGTTGGCGGAGGTGGCGAGCAGTACACACAGGAAGAGAGGTGGGAGCAGCCAGCGTGGGGTGCGGGGGTGGGAGCTGTCTTCTCGGGCTTGTCTGTCTGTCTGTCAGTCTGGTTTGGGAAGGTGCAGGGCAGTTGCACGGCCTGGCAAGGGATGTGCGGTCGAGAGTACCTGGCCAGGCCCTCCTTCCCCTGCCTGGCGTTCTCCCACCTGTTCCCACCACAAGACTAGCCTGCCTGGGCTCACAAGCCGGCTGGGGGCTCAGGCCATGAGCAGGGGCATCAGGACAGCCCCACAGACCCCGCTGGTCCCAGCTCCCTGTCCCAGTCTTTCCACTGGGAGCTCTTGAGGGCTGGGGTGGGGCTGCAGAGCCCAGGTCATTTATAGCATCTCTGAGGGAACAGTCTCTGCTGGGCTGGGCACCTGACTCGCCAGAAAACACTTTATAAATAACCTGGAGGAGGGACGGGGGCTGTCCGCCCAGACCTCCACGCTCCGGGAGCAGGTGGCAGGCACCAAGGCCCGGCCAGGGCTTCCTGGACATCAGGGCACAGCTACCTGGCTCTGGCAGGGAGCCAGGTCGAGGGATGCTGGGACGGCCGTCAACTACCTGGTAATTGGGGTTACAGTGGTCCTGGGGGCCCCGGAGTCCTCCTCTCAGCTATGATGTAGTCAGCATCCCTGCCTACGGGGTGGAGGGTGTATTGGGGGTTTCTGCCTGGGCAGACTAAGCCAGGAGGAGCTCAGCTTGTTGGGTGGCCCAGTATGAGTGCCTGCCCCTCTCTGAGTAAAAGGAGACGTTGAACTAGGGCAGTGGTTGGCAAACTGCAGCTCTGTTGACTAATGAGTTTGCTGACCACTGACCTAGACTCTCCAATAATTACAGGCTGTTGTTCCTTGTGATTAAGCCCTTATCCCAGTGGTCGGCAAACTCAGTCAACAGAGCGGCAAACCGTGGCGCATTTATTTTATTGATTTTTTAAAGAGAGGAAGAGAGAGGGATAGAAATTTAGAAACATCCATAAGAGAGAATCATTGATCAGCTGCCTCTTGCATACCCTCTACTGGGGATGTGTCTGCAACCAAGGTACATGCCCTTGACTGGAATCAAACGTGGGACTTTCAGTCTGAAAGCCAATGCTCTATGCACTGAGCCAAACCGGTTTCAGCAGGGGGTCCCCTTTTTGATTCTGGCATGTTATAGTGTGGATGCGGGCCTTGCCATCCCACATCACCAAGGGCTGTGTGCTGGGGGGTGGAGGACAGGAGGAGGAGGAGTGACCCCCCACTGTGTACTCCACAAGGAGAATCACTTGCTCCTTGCTTAGGACCAGGAGACCAGGGAGCCTGCTGGCCAGTGGCAGCCACAGAGGACGGGTCTGCAGGGTGTGCTTGGATTGGGCCTGAGGCGTGTCCTCAAGGAATCTACCTTCCAGAGGACTTTGCTTCCTTGGGCTTCTGTGATGAATTCTCCAGGATCCTGGGCCTCCATCCGCCATCTTTTCTTTTTCTTTTTTTTAAAAAAAT